GGATTTATGTTTACCACACCGAATATCTCTAGTTACAGCTGCCTACCTCGCAAACCAGCACACGAAGGATCTCCGGTGGTTAGGGATGGCTGAAGCGTGGACTAAAATGTTGCTATGCCGAGCCTTATCCGAGGGGGGAATGTGGGCGGAGCGTGCGGTGCAGTACACAGAAGGTTGTGCTTCTCTTTCAGAGCTGCCGAGAGTGAAGGAAAAATGGTTGGAGGTGTGCAGCGGGTTGGCAGATGACCTGTGTGACGAAGTCATTTTTGTAGTAGATGAAGCCTGCTCTAGCTGAGCAGTGCTTGTTAGGAAGAAAACCAGGTTGGAGGCAGGGAAAATCAATAAAAAAAGCGAAAAGTTCTAGATGAATTGAGTATGCGTGTGAAGTAAACTTATAGTGATGGGACTCCGGTTTGGATTATCTTGTGAGTACCAGGTCTGCAATAGTCATGTGGTACGCGATACTAGCTGGAGCCACCTGATGATAGTTCGGACAACTGGGTGATATTCCAGCAAAATATCGCTATCGCTTCTCGGCCTTTTGGCTAAGATCAAAGTTTAGTTTCTGTTCTAATAAATGAAAAAAGTGGGGCACTGGTTGAGACCCGGTGGTTATCGTGCAGACGTAGTGGTTTTTTCTGAATGTTATGTGAGAGGAATCAGTAAGAGGTTGGGCTATTGCTGTCTAAGCAGGAAGTGTGAGGCAGGAATCAGAGTAAAGCTATATTTTCAGCAAACTGCTGCTCTCGAACAGCTCAAGCAGGAATTTGCTACACTCGATACTGCGGCTAGGCAACTGAAGACTGAATTAGAGGACAAGACTCGCATTGTAGAGGAAACAAAATTAATGGCATCGAATGTCGATTCTGTCAAGAGAGCTGAATGTGAACGCGACGAGGTTGCTCATCAGTTTGCCCAAGCTCGCTCCGAATGGGAACAGGTTTGTGTTATTCTACTTTTTTTTCCATAGATTGCTGGCGGCTATTTCTATCAACTATAAACTCCTCAGCATCGAATTTGTACGCCTGTAACTTAGCATTCATTTACAGTAAGATCAAAGTTTCATTGCGGCATGTCTCCTAGTTCTTTCTAGAATCGAATGCCTGGTCTTACCGTACTCTCCACTTATTTCCTAATTCGGTTACTCTTCATTTTCATACTTTACCGTTTCGCTTGCGTGTTAATCCTTTAATATTATGCCACAAGCGAAGCTAAAGCAGTC